CCGCTCGACAAAGTCGACAGCGGAGCTAAAAAAGCCTGAAATTTTATTAATAAGATCCTGATTATATTGTAATGTTATGTTACAATTACTAAGACACAAAGCCATGTTGGAACGGTTGCATAGATCGAACACAGGTGTTGCACATCACATGTGATCACAAGTCTGTCTATCTACCAGTACTTTAAGGTTTGCCACAGTTGCAGGTCCCTGTTTTATCTAGTTTCTATGGCAACAAATACCTTGATTTACCAAACTTACCCTGCGAGAGAAATCAAAGTGTGGTTCATAATGACCACCGATGCCGTAATTGGCAACCTGAAAGAAACATCATATAAAATATCGAGTTAACAATACTGACCTGACAGCGTAACTTACCCTCGCAAAATCAAAGTGTGGCTCATAATGACCACCCAGACCATAATTGGCGACCTGAGGGGGTTTAATGAGAAAAATTGGTCAGTTTCTAACACAAATTTGCATATAATTACTATATCGTTCTATATTCTCAGTACCTCTAATACTCAAAATGCAGCATTTACACGACTTTTGAATGATGTTTGAAGTTCTACAATATAAAATGCACCCTGTTTTTTTGGAAAAAGTGTGTGAAATTACAGGGAATGTAATATTCAGCCACAATAAAAGTGGAGTTATGTCTGCCATTTATTATACTGTAAAATACTTTATTTTAGCTGGAATTAATTTTCGCTGAAAAGGTTTTGTGGGTGTTTTGTTGTATATGGAATTTATTTTCACTTATTTTTGACAAACAGAATGTAAAACAAGCCATGCATGGCACAGTCCCAGTTAGTTAGTTATCGAATTTAAGATATATAGTTTTGTTTATAGTAATATAGCTGGAATATAAACATGTCAGGAATATGATTATGATGATTGTTTAACATTTAAATGATTGACATTTGTATCTCATCGTCCAACAAGTATTGAGAGATATTGCTCGGGGACAGCATTAATTAAAACAAAATCAGCCATTTTGAATACATGTATAATGAATATATAAAATGTGAACATAATCAATCAAAGCATGTCAGAGATATGGCTCTAGAAGCCCGTTCATTAAAACAAAATGGCCACTAGTCAGCCATTCTAAATCAGATCTAAAAAATAAAATAACGTGCATCAGGAACCCGTAATGTCTAATGTATGTACCAAGTTTGAACAAAATCCATCCAGAAATGCTTGATATTTGATGATTTTTTAGCACAAAAATGGCCATTTCTAATAGGATTGTCAAACCAATATATCTGTATATCTATGACATGATGTATAATGAATATTTAAAATTTGAACATAATCAGTCAGAGATATAGCACTAGAACCACATTCATTAAAACAAAATGGCTGCCAGTCGGCCATTTTGACTATTATCTGAAAAAAAATGTTGTGCACACCAAGTTTGAACAAAATCCATCAGTAAACAGCCGAGAAATGTTTGATTTTGATGATTTTTAGAACAAAAATGGCCGCCATTCGGCCATCTTGAATCAGATCGTGAAACAAATTGATGTGCATATGTATAATATCATGTATGATGTAAGTGTGAAGGTTGATTGTGATTGGTCCAGGCATTTCTAAGATACAGGTCCGGACACATGCACGGACGTCAAAACAAGTCCCCGTTTTCGGACTGCGTCCGAACAGGGACTAAATATAGAGAAAAAGATATATGTGCTAGATTTTATTTTCACTGAATCATTTTTTTAACGAAAATTAATTCCAAGCAAAAATTAATTTTGTTGTCAAATGTTGTTGTTTTTTCCATGATGCAATAGCTAAAAGTATTTAAAATTGCACATGCTTGTATTTGAGGCACTAAGAATTGCAGGACGGCTGCTGAAGAAACTGGAATACCATTATTTATACTATAATCCCAGAATTTGTGATCATGAATTTTTAGCCATGAACTGGATGCTTATAGAATATTTGGTAAGAGTTGAAAGAGAGAATGGCTCATATTGGTAGTTAATGTTATTATCACTGATAATGCTCATAATTACTAAGTACCATAATAAACATGCTTCAGAAAAAAAAAAATGCTCTTTTCACTGACCCCTAGTTATCCTACATGAGCAGTATTTGTTGAAAGTATTGAACTTAAATTTGTTGTAAGTGTTGAACCGGAATTTATAATATTGTTGAACAGAATTTGTTGAAAGTTAGAGCTGAATTTACTGATATTGTTCAACAGAATCAAAATGTTTTTTTTGAATTGTTGATTTGAATTTAGTGAAGTTTGTCAAAGTGTTGAACATAATTTGTTGAAAGTGTTGGGCAAAATTTGAGTGTTAAGTCAATTTTGTATCAGTACTGGTACTGAATTTGCTGCAAATGTTGAGCACAATATGTAGAAAGTGTTAAGTCAATTTTGTACAAAATGTTGAGCAAAATTTAAGTGTTGAGACAAGCTTGTGTAAGTACTGAACTTAATTTGTTGAAAGTGTTTAAATGAATTTGTTGTCAAGGTTTTACTAGCATTTGTTTATTTATGTGTAAGAGTGTTGTATGAAAAAAAAGTCAATGAGTATGTCCATATATAATATGTACTTAATATACCTCAATTTCAAATTGTCATCAAGATGCTGCTGAGAGTGAGAAATTCAATCACCAAACTCATGAAAATTTTAAGTAATTTACAGTAGTATTTATCTACAGTAATGATAGATATATACCTGCATCTACAGTAATGATAGATGTATACCTGCATCTACAGTAATGATAGATGTATACCTGCATCTACAGTAATGATAGATATATACCTGCATCTACAGTAATGATAGATATATACCTGCATCTACAGTAATGATTGATATATACCTGCATCTACAGTAATGATTGATATATACCTGCATCTACAGTAATGATAGATATATACCTGCATCTGCCGTAATGATAGATATATACCTGCATCTGCCGTAATGATAGATATATACCTGCATCTGCAGTAATGATAGATATATACCTGCATCTGCCATAATGATAGATATATACCTGCATCTGCCGTAATGATAGATATATACCTGTATCTACACTAATGATAGATATATACCTGCATCTGCAGTAGTGATCGATATATAGCTGCATCTGCAGTAATGATCCATATATACCTGCATCTACAGTAGTGATCGATATATACCTGCATCTACAGTAGTGATCAATATATACCTGCATCTGCAGTAGTTATCGATATATACCTGCATTTACAGTAGTGATCGATATATACCTGCATTTACAGTAGTGATCGTTGTATATACTTGCATCTACAGTAGTGATCGATATATACCTGCATCTACAGTAATGATCGATATACACCTTCACCTGCAGTAGTGATCGATATATACCTGCATTTACAGTAGTGATCGATATATACCTGCATTTACAGTAGTGATCGTTATATACCTGCATCTACAGAAGTGATCATTATATATACTTGCATCTACAGTAGTGATCAATATATACCTGCATCTACAGTAGTGATCGATATAGGCCAGCATCTACAGTAATGATCGATATACACTTTCACCTACAGTAGTGATCGATATACACCTTCACCTACAGTAGTGATCGATATACACCTTCACCTGCAGTAGTGATCAATATACATGTATACCTGCATCTACAGTAGTGATCGATATATACCTGCATCTGCAGTAGTGATTGATATATACCTGCATCTGCAGTAGTGATTGATATATACCTGCATCTGCAGTAGTGATTGATATATACCTGCATCTACAGTAGTGATTGATATATACCTGCATCTACAGTAGTGATTGATATATACCTGCATCTGCAGTAGTGATTGATATATACCTGCATCTGCAGTAGTGATTGATATATACCTGCATCTGCAGTAGTGATTGATATATACCTGCATCTACAGTAGTGATCGATATATACCTGCATCTGCAGTAGTGATTGACATGCAGCAACAGGTACTTTAATGTTAGCTACCTGCAGTTACAGTAATAGTAGGTACCTGTACTTGCATAGTAACAGCAGGTATGTGTAGTTACATGGTTACGGTAGGTACCTGAAGTTACAGTAATGACTGCTACATGTAGTAACAGTAAAACCTACAGTAACCCAAAGTACAAGTATCTACAATAACACTACTAATGTAGCTCCTAGATGCCAGTTAAATCCAAGATGCAAAGGTTATTCAATGTATCCTCACCTGTAACTCCTCTGCAGTATCCATGGTTAATCCTGTGTATTGCTCAATGCGGTGGTTTAATCTATGCACCACATCGCCGTCATCTTCACTTAACCAAGCACTTTTACTTATGCGGTATTCAGCGAATTCAAGATTGCCTGTCACTGAATTCTGAATGGTGGCCCGCCTCAACTAGAACAAGAAACACACACACTTACAGATTTCTATACAGGGTGCTTTTTAAGGAGTGTGGTGGGTTGAATCTCTTTTAGTAACCTTGATGGCACAACAGCCCTAATAACATGGCAAGATTAAGCATTAATATCAACTGAGCTATGCATTTAATGCATTAAATATTTTGAATTGATTGTCAATGAATTCTCGAGTTACGAATTAAAAAAAACAAGGATATTGTTTGGCTTTGACATTTTCCTTTGAAATTACATTTGAAATAAAAAAAAAAATCTTTTCGTAAAACCAATATGAACTGAAACTATTTAGACAAAACAAATTCTTATTATTGGTACAGAATGGTATACTATACTGGTCACAATTATACTACAATGATTTTGTTTAAACATAGTTTCTGACTAATAATCAAATATGGACAAAGCTTGCAGGATAGTACTTACTTATATCAAGAATTCTAATAAAAAGAGTGACTCTGCACCACATGTTATTATGGGAATTGCAACTTTAATTACATTCATCACATTAATGCCAGTCAAGTTTTAAGTTAATCATTGTTCTGCATTATTCTGTAGCAGAGCTTCAGTTTTGAGGATGGTTTAGTGTCAAATATATTTGAACCACCAGGTTCTAGAAGCATTTGCAAGCATGCCCTTTTCTCCTGCATTATTATCAGGTATGTAATTTTGGGTCACATGGACCAATGAATGGACAGGAAAAGTCCTTAGTTTACAGGCTAAGATGCTATAGTGTAGTTTACTTTATTTTCATTCTTTATCTTTTAGAAGAACATTTATTTTGGGTGAGTTCATAGTGCATTGACTTCACTTCCATTTTTTAGTTTGTGCCTCGCTGTCTGCACATGGTTGCTGTCAGTGTAATGTGCATTTTTAAAGTTGGAAGTTCACTCTAATTCAGCTAGTTCAAGATTTTCTTTTTTTGCCGACTCTTTCAGTTTGTGCACTCTTATTTTACATGTTTTGCACATAGTACTGTATGCCATCCCTCTTGTTTACTGACACCTATGATGTGACGTTTTGGGACTACTTTATTACATGCGTCAAATTACATACTTTTTTAATGGCGTTCTATGTCACCTGATCACCCAAGTGTATTGATATATAAAAAGTAGTGCCATGAGTGTAACTGAAAATGGCGGAATAAACAAGAAGTTAAACTTGAAAGCTTTCTGGTTTTTTTGATATCTTGTGGTAATGTGCATACCTGGAATAGAGGTTGAATGTGAGCTTCAAGAGAAGCAAGCAGGCTTGTTTTGAAGCTAGAAAACTTTTTTTCACATGTGTTCAAACCTGGAATTGTCCTGTATCTTTATAATGGGAAATTTCGATGACTTTTTGTATTGCTACCAAGAAAAACCTCACACATCAAATAATGTATCAAATAGTAACATATGGGCCAAGTTGTCACAGCTATTGTCTTTGGATCATTGAGTGCTAACTTCCTGCCAGCTATAGGGCTGTTCAATTTTGGGTTAGATAGATGTGTCTTGACGTTGTAGATTGATCGTCACATGTTAGTTCAGGGTTCTGATGCCTTGGATGTGGTCTTGTTTTGCTAGTTCATTCAGTTCATCTCCAGATTGAACAGAACAATGCCCATGTAAACGTACACATCCGACTGAAATCAGGTATTGCAGACTTTCGCACTAGCACTTCAATAGTGGGTATGTACATATGCTTTGCAAACTACTCATGATCCTTGCAGGCTCTATGTTGTGTTCCATACAATTGTAGGTACTCCATGAGGACTACATTCATAGCGTGGGGTTCGTATGCATTTATATAGTCCATGTGAACAGATTCCAATGGGTTCTTTGTGACTTCTGATTGAGCTTACAACCTGTATAGAGTATGGGTTCTGGTATTCTGATACAGATCCTGTATGGGCAGTGATTTGTATATGCTTCAGTACAGATTCTGAATGACCAGTGGAATGATTCTTTTTTTATGTGAAGTGGAAAGATCAGTATTTCTGTAGTTATATGTTGCATAATTTGTTATGGTTTATGTATGACCCTTTTCCAATCCAATAGTTTTTCGGAATTTGTGAGACAATTTTATGGCAGCTTTTGGTGTACATTATAACACACACCATATAAGAATGTACCCAGTTATAGTCTTGTTAGCAGATCTTTGGGTTTCCAGAGTCAATCTTTGGCTAGGATTCTGTATTATCTTATTTCTGGAAGCTAGCCATGAACAAAAGGTCTAGCAATAATAACTACACCAAAAAGGTACTGGAAGCTAGGAGTGAGCAAAGAAGCTAGCACTAACAACTACCCCAGAAGGTACTGGGAGCTAGTAGTGAACAAAGTGG